AATTCTGAAAGGATTTCAGCTGGACCTGGGAGATCTCACAGGGCTGCTGTATCCTGATGGTACCTTGCTTGCATTGGCAGTGTGTACCTCAGGCAGGTGTCTGTGTGTGTGCAGAATCCAGAGCTAGAGTCTAGAAGTGTTGCTTGCTGTGGATGAGCACACACCTTGGGACTGACTCTTCTTTGTCATGAGATGGGGCTAGCTGGATTCCTCCCTGAATACAAAGTCCCTTATTCTGGTGGTGACTCGTTCACAAACTGACAGAATCCAGCCAACATGTTTGCCCTTCAAGATGTTTAGCAGTTGGTCCTGTGCAGATGACTTTCAGCCTGAGCCAGACTGTTGGTATTTGTTGTTGCTGATGTATAGTCAGTCGTCTAAAACACGTACTGTTTTTTATTCCCTACTCCCTGATTGGATGACAGACTCTAACTGGGAGAATAGTGATATGTTTTCCAGTGGGAAGATTTGTGTTTAAAATAACAGTGTATTTTCAGGAGTGTGCCAGAGTCATCACCAGGATACTCAAATCACAAAAATATGGCCAGTGTCAGGATACACATCCCTGTTTTGGCAAGGGAGAGCTCTTGCACCGCTTTGTCATGATACACTTGGAAACGTGGCCTGCTTTATGATGCAAGATGAAGGCCTGCTGGGGAGTCTACCTTGTACCGGGTACTGGGAGCATGAGACACCTGAGCTACATCTGCCATGAGGCACCACATCAGCATTTTAGAGTCCAAGCATTTCTGTTTTGAGGCATTTAACCTTTTTTCCATGAGAATTCAAAGTATTCTGAAGCATTTGCACCAAACTGCCCCTCTCTTCTCCCCCGAACATTTGTATCAAAAATAGTTGTGATGGAAAACTTCTGACTAGCTGTTCTCCAATCAGCTCCCTCAACCCCCCTGGTTTTGCCTGCTGGACCTTGGCACTAGCAGGTCTGTCAGGCACTTCTCCCTTTGTGAGGCTGTCATAGGAAGAGCCTAACACCACCTCACCTTCCAGATGGAGGAGGAGGTTGTGGAGAAGCGCTGAGGGTGCAGTGTGTGGGCACAGATGCACAGGAGTCATGAGGGTGTACTGAAGTGTTTTGATCCTGGTGGATCAGGATTCCCTCAGAAGGGTCCCATCTTATGTCAGGTTAGGAGAATTAAAGCCTGCCTTGGCTAAAAAAATTGAAAAAGAATGGTTGAATGAGAGGAAAAAACATTACCTTTATTTATTAACCCTCTTCCCCTGGCCTGAACCTACTACCTCCACATTCTCACAGCAAAATGCACAAACCTCTTGAGTGAAGGGCTGTCTGACACATTGGAACAAAAGTCCCAGCCTTCACCTGCTACATGCTTTTATATTTATTGATTCACACATGAATAGATGAGTCTTAAGATCTGGGGCTCCATCACTGATGAGCTGGTTGTGTGGCCTTTGGCAAAGCACTTAACTTCCCTGCCTTGGTTTCGTCGGGTGTAAATTAGAGATCTTGTTAACTTGTTGGATGTAGTGTCCCCTGGGTTCACACATAGCTGTATGATAGTTAAACATCCTCCTGTCTGCTGTGCACTTACGTGATGCATCTGTTCAGTCTCCTCTCTGTTAGTGGGGTCTTGGGGCTCCACGTGTTGTTTAGGTTAGGGATACAGTCAGGTATGCTTGGGCAGTCTTATTAACTCGCTGACACTAGAAGGGATGCTCTGGGAGTGGGGGGATCTAGAGCCTCACATAGCAGAGTCTGACATCAGTTCCATCACTGCTTTGCCTGTCCAGAGCTGAGCCTGGGGCTTGGCACTTCCCCAGCTACTGCTAATGGGAGCTCTCTGGCTGCAGCACTCTGTCCTTCTCTGTCTCCAGCCTGTCCCCTTTCCTAAAGGGAGTGCGTTCTCCCAGATACTGGGGTTCCCAGCTCTCCTCCTCCTCTCCCTGACTGCAGCCTTTCAGGGGAATGCTATGTGACTGGGTTGCGTGGAGAACCCCAACCTAGATCACTAGCCACTCAAGCAGCCATGCTTTTACTGATGTGTATGCGTGCCAAGTCCTGAGGGTGTGTTATGGATGCTTCCCCCAGAGTGGTAGGGCCTCAAAGAGCCTAAATTCCTCTGCATGTTGCTTCCCTGTGCTCCAGACCAAGAGGTCAATGCTGAGGCTGAAGACCAGGCCCTGGCAGGACAGGGGAGCTTTAAGCTGGAGGGCTCCTGGCTCAAGCTACGCCAGTTCCACGGGCTGATAGTCAAGCGCTTCCACTGTGCCAAACGCAACACCAAGGCCCTTTTCTCGCAGATCCTGCTGCCTGCCTTCTTCGTTTGCGTGGCCATGACTGTGGCACTCTCTGTGCCTGAAATAGGTGCGTATGGGTGCTGATATCAGGCCTTCCCTAGCCTGCTTTCTCCAGTACACCCAGAGCCAACCCAAGCAGGGTGCAAGGCCCCGCCACCACCCTGATCCTGCGCACCCCAGATCTGAAAAAGCTGCCGCAGCCATCAGCAACATGGGGGTGGGGGGGATAGCAAGTGGCTGGATGCAGCTGGATGCAGCCAGTCTGCCCAGCTCTGGAGGCCCCCCAAAGCGCGGGGCCCAGGGCAGTCACCCTGATTCCCACCCCGGGATGGCCCTGAGTATACCTAGTTTCATAGTAGCTAGGGTCAGGAGGGACCTCAACAGATCATCTAGCCTGACCCCCTGCCACGGGCAGGAATGAATGCTGGGTTCACAAGACCCCAGACAGGTGATCGTCCAACTTCCTCTTGAATTTGCCCAAGGTAGGGGCGAGGACCACTTCCCTGGGAAGTTGGTTCCAGATTTTGGCCACCCTAACTGTAAAATATTGCCTACCAACTAAGGTGGTGAGCTACACCTGGGACAAGGGTTATAGCTAAGCCCTGGCTATCTTATACCTCCCCACAGACCTGGGCTCCACAATCCTAGAGTTTCCAGCCCTTACCATTGAAGATGCCCATGGAAATGTGACCAGTAATGTTTGACATGTCTGAACCAGAGATGGTGGTTCTTGGAGGTGTAAGCCTCCCCAGCCATCTCATGCAGAGGCTGTAGGATGCCCCTTTCCCAGGGTACCCCAGGTTGGCTGGCAGCTGTCTGCAACAGGGTGACTATGTTCTACTTGGGGTGGGAAGGCTGGAAACAGGCTCTTTGAATCAGATGCAGTACATGAACCCTGTGGTGAGATGGGATCCACCTGTACTGTGCAGCATGTGGGGGCTGTTTTATAAACTGTGATTCTAGGTCGACTGGCCCTGCCTGTGAAACCCCATCCTGCAGCCTTCCCCTTTTGTGTTTGCCCCTTAGCAACCCCAGTCACAGCACACTCGGGCACTTCCACTCCAGCCTGCTTTGGACAGCAGCATCCTTCTGTGGCTAGTGCGTTCTGGGCTCCATTGGTGAAAAACTGGGGCTTGGCTGGAGCCATCAGCCTTTCTTCATCAACTTGGTGCCAAGGTCATTCTCTGACCCAGAACAGTCTTATCTCGGCTCCTGCTCCCCTTGGAGCATCTGGCCTGGGCTATGGGTGCCTTTGTGCCAGGGGCTGCAGTTGCCCTACAGCTTTCCAAGTAATCCTTGGGTGTTATGGTGGAAGTTGCCCAGCAGTTTTGAAAAGTGGGAGAGGAGGACTCAGCTGGTGGGCCTGCCAGTCCCCCAGGCCATTTCTCTGGGTCCCCAGGACTGGCATCCAGACCCAGAATAGGCAGGTATGGCAGAGCCCAGTGGCCACCATCATGAGGAAAGTCCTTCAGCAGCGTCTCTCCTTGTTTCTCAGGTGACCTGCCCCCTCTGATCCTCTCACCGTCTCAGTATCACAACTACACCCAGCCCAAGGGCAACTTCATCCCCTACGCCAATGAGGAACGACGCGAGTACCGGTGAGAAGCTGCCACCACTGGCCTGGGAGATGTCCCCAGGCTGCCTTCTTTCTCCTTCCCTCTCCACCAGCAAGGGATTAGGATTGCAGGGCACACCCCTGCGAATCTTCTCACCTCATGTCCTGCTGAGGGAAATGCTGCCATGTGGGATTTTGCAGTCTCAGGCAGATGCTCAGGAGGGCAGTCAAGCTGCTGCTCTCTGAGCAGGGTCATTCCTCTGAGTCTGGCACTGGGGAAAGGCTCCAGGCTGGAGCTCAGCCTCATCTACTGTCTTTTCCATGGCACAGCTTGACACCAAGACAGGTAATGGGCTTGGGGGTGGTGCCCAGCTGTCTCCAAGGGGAATGAGAGCAGAAGCTCATTTCATACCAGTTATGGTCAGCCAACACCTATCAGAGATTATAGGCTCAGGTTAGATTTAAGACTGTGTCCAGCAAGCAAGTCTCCCTAGTCCTCATTAGTTCCCTGTGCCACCCAGTCCCCTTCAGCCTCCAAGCCAGGTTGCCAGATCTAACCAAACCCTGAGGGTCCCTCAAGCCATAGTAGCTCAGCTGCTCCTTTAGAGCCTGGCCTAGCAAGCCCATGTTGCTGCTTCATAAGCAATAGGGACTCTTGGGCCTATGCTAAGCAGTCCCCTGCACACTGAGCCCATCTCACCCACTTTCCCTCTGCAGCATAAAGCTGTCTCCTGATGCCAGCCCTCAGCTGCTCGTCAACACCTTCCACCTGCCCTCAGGGGTGGGGGCCACCTGCGTGCTGAAGACAGCCTTCAACAGCACCCTAGACCAGCTGGTGCAGTCCTTGAACCTCAACAGCAATGAGTCCAAGATGCTGGCGGCCAAGTACTTTGATGCCATGTGTGTTGACTCCTTCACCCAGGGCCTGCCGCTCTCCAACTTTGTGCCACCACCTCCGTCCCCTGCCCCATCTGACTACCCTGTCTCCATGGACGAGGACTTGCTGCATGCCTGGAACTCCACCACCTACCCCTCCACTGTCAAAGGTAATGCCTGGCATGGTGACCAGAGTGTAGAGAACAAACAACCCCTGGCCTCATGTCACACAGTGCTGCCTGACTTGGGACTCGGGTGGCTGGCACTGCCCACTGGGCCTAAAGGACTGCTCTCCCTACTGCATCCAGGAAGGGCTTGTCTGGGATTTTCCTATCACACCTTTCAGGGAGGAAGATCTCTGTTGGCGTCGCAGAGTTCAGAAACAAAGGAATGACAAGTCAGCTTGGAGTTCCTTCCAGCCCAGTGTCATGTATCTGACAGCTGCCAAAACCAGCTGCCTTAAAGGCATGTGTAAGAAGCCCATAGTAACAGATATGGGATAAATGACCCGGCCCAAGTCTCTGACTCCAGTATTTTGAGCATGTCTGGAAGCCTGGAGTTTACTATCCCTCCCCAAATCCTGGTTTCTCTTACACTGTCACCCAGGATGTTTTCAACACACGAATGTCCAGCCCTTTTGTAGAATTTTTCCTGCCAAGTTCTTGGTTTCAGTAGCACCCTGTGGCAGGGAGTTCCCCAGACTGATAGAGCACACCTTGTATAGCACTTTAGTTTCTTCCTGTGCCCTCTTTTGGGACCATAGGACAGAGATAAGAATTACTGGTGATCTCCCATCTCTGGGGACTATTCATGCTTCCAGCTACTTCCATCATGTTCCCTGTTCCTCTCCTTCCATAGTTTCATAGTTTCTAGGGTTGGAAGGTTCCTGAACAGATCATCAAGTCTGACCCACTGCCCTGGGTAGGAATGAGTGCTAGGATCATAATACCCCAGCCAGATATCTATTCAACCTCCTCTTGAAGACTCCCAAGGTAGGGGAGAGCAGCACCTCCCTTGGGAGCCCATTCCAGAGCCTGGCAGCCCTAACTAAAGTAAATCCACAAGTAAATCATCTTGGTCACTGAGTGCTGTCAGTCATATGATCTTGATCAATCTCCTCTCCCATCTCTAACCCCTTCTGATTCATTTGGACCTTGTAGTATCTTTAAGAAGATACATAATGAAGGAGCCTCAAATGATAGAGCTATGTGTCTCCAAAGAACCTGTGAGAGCTAATCCTCAGGTATCTGAATCCAGGTGGACTGAGCTTTGGCAAGGCCACAAGGATGCTTTCTCCTTGCATGACTCTTTCCTTGTCTCAGCACTCCAATTGTTTCCCCCTTCCCAGAAACAACAGCAGCCATGGCCAATGTTAATGGGCAGTTCTGAAGTGTTCCTGCCTTTCACCATGCAGAAGGGACTTAGAGCTGCTTTTCTTCTCTTGTTCCTTCAGAAACCATCACCTCGGCACCGTCCTTGCCCCGCATCATCCATGAGCCGATTAAGTGCACTTGCTCCATGCAGGGGACGGGCTTCTCCTGCCCCAGCGGGGTGGGAGGCCACCCGCCTCAGATGAAGGTTGTGACAGGGGACATCCTAGCTGACATCACCGGGCGCAATGTTTCAGAGTACCTGCTTTACACCTCGGACCGCTTCCGACTGCACAGGTGAGAGCATGGGCTAGCTCTGCTGCTGTCTGGCCCTGCCAGAGCTTTTTTGGAAGAGGTAGGTGGTTGGGCACTGAAGTGAAGCCAGGAGGGTAATGGATCTCTGGCAGCAGACCACATGAGGTGGCCTGGAGGCATTAGGGGGACTCAGGAGAGCTGCACAGTTGATCATAAGAGTTGGAAGGAGTTCCCTCAGGAGGCTACATGCCTCTACAGCTGAATGCAGGGGCTTTCCTGCTGGCCCTCTGAGGAGACACGGGGATCATGTTGACTCCTGCTCCATCATCCAGGAAGAGTTGCTCAGCAAATGCTAGGCCCAGTGCATCATGGACTAGCAGCAGTGACAGCGTTCCTTGTGGTGAAGGAAATGGCTCTCAAGCCTGCTGTGGTAGCAGGACAGGTGAGGGCAGAATTCCCTTGCCTCTGCTCAGAAGTGTTTTTGCTGTCACAGCTGACAGGAAGAGGGTCCCAGGGTGGCCTCTGCCAGGTAAGGCCCTTCAGAGGAGAACAGATCTGGGTTCTCTCTCCCCACAAAGCCTGGCATTTCAAGGGCATCTCCGAGCTGCTTGTGTAGCAAAGGTGGTTGCAGCCTCTCCTCTTGTGTCTCCTTCTACCGCAGGTATGGGGCGCTCACCTTTGGCAATGTCCAGAAATCCATCCCAGCATCGTTTGGGGTCAAGGCTCCTCCCACGGTCCGGAAGATCGCGGTCAGGAGAACAGCCCAGGTAGGAGAGACCTGAGCATGTCTTGTCTGATGGAAGAGAGGAGGTTTTTTCCATGTCCTCTCCCTGGTCCCTTTTCCCACTTGCTCTTCCCCCTCCTACTTTCCTGGGCCTTGTTAAAGGGACTCCTGCGCAAGGGGGTGGTTTTCACTTGCAGTAAACTAAGGTCTCCATGTGCTCCTGAGTGAGAGTGGCTCTTGTTCAGGAACCTCATGGGGGAGCCTCCTGGCCCTGACAGTTGCTAGCAGAGAGCTACCTTCACCAAAATGAGAAAACTGGCTACGTGCTGCCTGCTCTGGGCAGGTGCAGCAGCTTTTGGTCTCCAGGGTGTCTGTAAAGCTTTGTAGCAGCACTTGGCCAGCTTGCTGCCATTCATGGATGGGCACCATTGCCAGAGCAGTGGGTGACTGCCTAAAGAGCAGCAGTCCCTTGATTCTGGGGTCTTTCTCCCATGCTAGCTCCTAGGACTGGAGGCAAGGGGGCAGGAAGATGTGTAGTGGGAGGGGGGTGTTCCTGCTTGTAACAGGAGAGTGAGTCCCCAGCTACAATACAAGAGCAACTTCCCTGTCTCAGTGGGGCACCAGTTGGCAGCAGATTTTGAAGGAGAGGGTAGGGGTGTGGCAGTCCCCGGGAGGCCTGTGCTTTCTCTGTCAGACTTGTCTGGGGCCATCGCTCCTCACTCAAGCCCCTCTGCTTTCCTCCCCTCACTGACCCCTATTGGGGTTTACAAGCCTGAGCCCATCTCTCTGCTCTGCTCTTCCAGGTCTTCTACAACAACAAGGGCTACCACAGCATGCCCACCTACCTCAATGCACTGAACAATGCCATCCTGCGCGCCAACTTGCCCAAAAGCAGGGGAAACCCAGCTGCCTATGGTGAGAGGGCAGGTGTGCGGGTGACCACAGCATGCACAGAGGAGAGACGCATTGGGAACCGACCCCTTCCTGCTTTTGGGGAGCAGCCCAGATGAATGGGGGAAGAAACGTCCCCGGTGGGCAAGCTAGTGCCTGACTCCTTTGTGACGGGGGATTAAGAGAAAGCCCAGCCTGATCAAACTGCTGCTTTGGTGTTGTTGGGTTTGGAAATACTTGTGAGAGCCCCAGGGTCATTGCAGGGGGTAGATGCCATGACTTTCAGTGGCAGAGGCTGAAGTAAGCCTTAAGTGGCTCTGGTCAAGTCCCTCTGTGCTGCAGCTTATGCCAGTATGAAACGGCAAAAACAGAGGCCCTGCTGGGGTTCATATATGGTTTATCAGTTAACAACTGAAGTTCTGTGAGCTTCTCTGAGCAGAGGTACAGGAGGAGGATTATTCCTGGTGACAGGACTCCCTCTGCTCTGCAGCAGGGAAGGAAATGTCTTGCTCTTCCTCAGGATAGGCACCAGGGCCTGCTGTTCTCAGCCGGCCTGTCTGAGGCTGAGGGAGCGAAGGGCTGCTGTTCTGCTTTCACATAATCTGCATTCCCTTTCCTGTTTTTGCTGTAGGTATCACAGTAACCAATCACCCCATGAACAAGACCAGCGCCAGCCTCTCCCTGGATTACCTGTACGTACCAGTGGGGTATGGTGTTTGTCATACAAAGGGAAGAAGACACTGCCAGGGTGGCCGTGGCTATAGGACCCCACAAGGCAGGAGCAGTGCCAGCCCCTGCCACCCCTGAGACGGGCTGTGTGGTGAACAGTGGGAAGCAAAGGAGGAAACTGCAAAATGGGCTGTCTGTTCTGTAACAGACAAGCAGGCTTAGGCAGGGCCATAGGCAGCTGCCTTTCAGAAAGGCCACCGTTGGCATTGGAGGCCTAGTTGGGAAGCAACCAAAAAACATCATTTTGGTGGGGGGGGTATCTTGGGAGCATGAGTCACTTTTCTGAAGAACTTAGAATTTTGCCATTTCCCCTGCTTATGGCAGGTCTCTGTGCTTAGATTGGCATGTGCTGCCTCCCCACTGGGGTGCCTGGCAGTGGTGGCCACCCTATCTCTGGGTGAGTTGCCCCTTGCCATTCACTGAAGATGACAAACTCTTTTCCTCCTCCTTGCTCCTGTTTCTGCTGCCTTTCCCTCACTGTAGCCTGCAAGGCACAGATGTGGTCATTGCCATCTTCATCATCGTGGCCATGTCCTTCGTGCCAGCCAGCTTTGTGGTGTTCCTAGTGGCTGAGAAGGCTACCAAAGCCAAGCACCTGCAGTTCGTGAGCGGCTGTGACCCAGTGATCTATTGGCTGGCCAACTATGTCTGGGATATGGTAAGAGCAGACAAGGTGTTTCAGAGCAGTTGTGCCTACTCAAGTCGACCCATACAGTGAAGGAGTTGGCCAGTGGGGGCTATGTGCGCTGGGCATGCCACTGAGGACCATCAAGCGAGACATCCATGTCCCTCCCAGATGTGGTGGGCCAGTCCCCTGAAGGCTCTTCACCCCCAGTAAACTCCTTCCTCAGCAGACACTTCCAGAACTGGACCATTTTCCCCACCCCTCTCTTAGTTCCCCATGCCCATGGAAGGTCTTTGACCTATTTCCCTCCTACCCGTCCTGCAAAGGTTGCTGCACTTTTGGCCAGGACCTCAGCCTATCTGCAGAGTTCTCTGGCTGTATGACACTGCTTTTCCTCGCCTCTGTTGGCTGTCTGACAGTACTCTGCTGCCATTGTGCCTCCTATTAGCATAGGAGCTGCTGGGCATTGTTCCTGGGGAATGCACAGCAGCACACTTGGATTTGGTGGGGTTACTGGGGTGGCTTGGCTGTGTGTCTCTGACCCATGTGGGTCTTTGGCACACAGGGGCCATGTGGAATGCAGTAGGTTTGGTATCTGAGGTTATCATCCCATCCTGGATCCTGAGGGAATAATTGTTCTGCCCTTCCCTTTGGCCTGGTTTCGTATCTCTGAAGCGAGGGGCTTGGACTGGGACAATGCATGTCCTGCTTCATGAAGACTTCA